CATAATAATGGCTGGAGCTGATTAGGTGGAATGGTATCAAATACATACATCTAACATGGTTTCCATGTGTTTGATGCCATTCCATTCGTGTTGTTCCGGCCATTATTATGAGCCGTCCTCCCTCAGCAGCCTCCTGTGGTCTACAAAACTTAAATTGGTCTATTGTGCAGGGCAACTGGTTTAATACAGAGTGCTGGTGACTCCTTACTCCACCCACTCCATTCACTACAATGCAATACACTGCATACAAATTACGTTTAGGCTTATAGAGAAAAAACTACTCTGTGCCGATGTAAAAGTAGGGTTGGGAGTACTCAGTAGGGTCTGTAGAATCTATATACAGTGGGGGGAAAAAGTATTTAGTCAGCCACCAATTGTGCAAGTTCTCCCACTTAAAAAGATGAGAGAGGCCTGTAATTTTCATCATAGGTACACGTCAACTATGACAGACAAAATGAGGGAGAAAAAAAAAAAAATTATGAATTAATTTGCAAATTATGGTGGAAAATAAGTATTTGGTAAATAACAAAAGTTTCTCAATACTTTGTTACAGTGGGGAGAACAAGTATTTGATACACTGCGGATTTTGCAGGTTTTCCTACTTACAGAGCATGTAGAGGTCTGTAATTATTATCATAGGTACACTTCAAAAATCCAGAAAATCACATTATATGATTTTTAAGTAATTCATTTGCATTTTATTGCATGACATAAGTATTTGATACATCAGAAAAGCAGAACTTAATATTTGGTACAGAAACCTTTGTTTGCAATTACAGAGATCATACGTTTCCTGTAGGTCTTGACCAGGTTTGCACACACTGCAGCAGGGATTTTGGCCCACTCCTCCATACAGACCTTCTCCAGATCCTTCAGGTTTCGGGGCTGTCGCTGGGCAATACAGACTTTCAGCTCCCTCCAAAGATTTTCTATTGGGTTCAGGTCTGGAGACTGGCTAGGCCACTCCAGGACCTTGAGATGCTTCCTTAGTTGCCCTGGCTGTGTGTTTCGGGTCGTTGTCATGCTGGAAGACCCAGCACGACCCATCTTCAATGCTCTTACTGAGGGAAGGTGGTTGTTGGCCAAGATCTCGCGATACATGGCCCCATCCATCCTCCCCTCAATACGGTGCAGTCGTCCTGTCCCCTTTGCAGAAAAGCATTTCCAAAGAATGATGTTTCCACCTCCATGCTTCACGGTTGGGATGGTGTTCTTGGGGTTGTACTCATCCTTCTTCTTCCTCCAAACACGGCGAGTGGAGTTTAGACCAAAAAGCTCTATTTTTGTCTCATCAGACCACATGACCTTCTCCCATTCCTCCTCTGGATCATCCAGATGGTCATTGGCAAACTTCAGACGGGCCTGGACATGCGCTGGCTTGAGCAGGGGGACCTTGCGTGCGCTGCAGGATTTTAATCCATGACGGCGTAGTGTGTTACTAATGGTTTTCTTTGAGACTGTGGTCCCAGCTCTCTTCAGGTCATTGACCAGGTCCTGCCGTGTAGTTCTGGGCTGATCCCTCACCTTCCTCATGATCATTGATGCCCCACGAGGTGAGAACTTGCATGGAGTCCCAGACCGAGGGTGATTGACTGTCATCTTGAACTTCTTCCATTTTTTTTATAATTGCACCAACAGTTGTTGCCTTCTCACCAAGCTGCTTGCCTATTGTCCTGTAGCCCATCCCAGCCTTGTGCAGGTCTACAATTGTATCCCTGATGTCCTTACACAGCTCTCTGGTCTTGGCCATTGTGGAGAGGTTGGAGTCTGTTTGATTGAGTGTGTGGACAGGTTTCTTTTATACAGGTAACGAGTTCAAACAGGTGCAGTTTATACAGGTCATGAGTGGAGAACAGGAGGGCTTCTTAAAGAAAAACTAACAGGTCTGTGAGAGCCTGAATTCTTACTGGTTGGTAGGTGATCAAATACTTATGTCATGCAATAAAATGCAAATTAATTACCTAAAAATCATACAATGTGATTTTCTGGATTTTTGTTTTAGATTCCGTCTCTCACATTTGAAGTGTACCTATGATAAAAATTACAGACCTCTACATGCTTTGTAAGTAGGAAAACCTGCAAAATCGGCAGTGTATCAAATACTTGTTCTCCCCACTGTATATACCCTTTGTTGGCAATGACACAAGTCAAACGTTTTCTGTAAGTCTTCACAAGGTTTTCACACACTGTTGCTGGTATTTTGGCCCATTCCTCCATGCAGATCTCCTCTAGAGCAGTGATGTTTTGGGGCTGTCGCTGGGCAACACGGACTTTCAACTCCCTCCAAAGATTTTCTATGGGGTTGAGATCTGGAGACTGGCTAGGCCACTCCAGGACATTGAAATGCTTCTTACGAAGCCACTCCTTCGTTGCCCGGGCGGTGTGTTTGGGATCATTGTCATGCTGAAAGACCCAGCCACGTTTCATCTTCAATGCCCTTGCTGATGGAAGGAGGTTTTCACTCAAAATCTCACGATACATGGCCCCATTCATTCTTTCCTTTACACGGATCAGTCGTCCTGGTCCCTTTGCAGAAAAACAGCCCCAAAGCATGATGTTTCCACCCCCATGCTTCACAGTAGGTATGGTGTTCTTTGGATGCAACTCAGCATTCTTTGTCCTCCAAACACAACGAGTTGAGTTTTTACCAAAAAGTTCTATTTTGGTTTCATCTGACCATATGACATTCTCCCAATCCTCTTCTGGATCATCCAAATGCACTCTAGCAAACTTCAGACGGCCTGGACATGTACTGGCTTAAGCAGGGGGACACGTCTGGCACTGCAGGATTTGAGTCCCTGGCGGCGTAGTGTGTTACTGATGGTAGGCTTTGTTACTTTGGTCCCAGCTCTCTGCAGGTCATTCACTAGGTCCCCCCGTGTGGTTCTGGGATTTTTGCTCACCGTTCTTGTGATCATTTTGACCCCACGGGGTGAGATCTTGCGTGGAGCCCCAGATCGAGGGAGATTATCAGTGGTCTTGTATGTCTTCCATTTCCTAATAATTGCTCCCACAGTTGATTTCTTCAAACCAAGCTGCTTACCTATTGCAGATTCAGTCTTCCCAGCCTGGTGCAGGTCTACAATTTTGTTTCTGGTGTCCTTTGACAGCTCTTTGGTCTTGGCCATAGTGGAGTTTGGAGTGTGACTGTTTGAGGTTGTGGACAGGTGTCTTTTATACTGATAACAAGTTCAAACAGGTGCCATTAATACAGGTAACGAGTGGAGGACAGAGGAGCCTCTTAAAGAAGAAGTTACAGGTCTGTGAGAGCCAGAAATCTTGCTTGTTTGTAGGTGACCAAATACTTATTTTCCACCATAATTTGCAAATAAATTAATAAAAAATCCTACAATGTGATTTTCTGGAGAAAATACATTCTCAATTTGTCTGTCATAGTTGACGTGTACCTATGATGAAAATTACAGGCCTCTCTCATCTTTTTAAGTGGGAAGAACTTGCACAATTGGTGGCTGACTAAATACTTTTTTTCCCCCACTGTATGTGTCAGAATGAGTCATCAACCACACAGTGCTTTGTTCAAATTACAGACTTTAGATATAACAGGCGTCTGCTTACCTTTAGTAATTAGTTGCGCGGCACAGTGGGTTGACGCTCACTCCAACAGCGGGTGGTCATTCACTCCTGGCAAACTCGCCAAAATGTAGAGGATTCTTTGCACAGTGCTGATATTCTCTTATTCTTAAACAAACCTTAAGCTTTAGAAAATGACACAGACAACGACTTCTGAGTGTATATATAAAATATCTTTAGTTATGCAATTGCAGGTAGAAGTGTATACAGAGTCACACAGGATTTGGATGGCTCCTCATAAGTTCTACAAAGTGTCTTAAAACAATCTCTGCTTTTTATACAAGTACGCCCCCCTTCCCCCCTTCCCTCCGGGTTACTCTGAAGCAACGAGAAACAATACAGGTCTATCTGTTCCTGAAGTTTAATCTCCATCCCATGTCCTTGATATACCCAGACCAGCTGCAGGGAGCTAGAGGGGACCCTCCTTATGAAAAGCACAGCATTGATAGTTAAGAAATGTCTCTACTATTGTTAAGCATATTAATTGTTAACTATTAATATTAAACAATTCAGGCAAATACGTGTATTCCCAAACAGTAGCACTCAGGTAATTCTTACTTAGATTATTCTTTTCATTCTGATCATAGTGTAAAGTACACTCAGACGTGAGTGTTTTTATTTTACCCTTATTTTACCAGGTAAGTTTACTGAGAACACATTCTCATTTACATCAATGGCCTAGGGAATAGTACAGGGGGGAGGAGAGGGGATGAAGGAGCCAATTGGTAGCTGGGGATGATTAGGTGGCGATGATGGTATGAGGGCCAGATTGGAAATTGAATGAATGTGTGATTCCTCAGAGAGCAGATGATGGCTGCTGAAGTAGGGCATTCCCAGCAGAGACTATTTAGCAGAGAACTCAGATGACAAAGGACTCACTGGCAAAGACATCCTGGAATAGCGGGAGGGGTTTATTTGTTTAAGGTTTGAGTAAGCAGGTGAGAGAACACGTTTAGGTAGGTCTAACAGAGCAGGAACAGAAACTGTATGTCATCATAAACAGGCCAGTGCATAACCAGACAACCCATGACATGGCTAGACAGTAGCAAACGTACATTTGAGGATGGCTATTAATGACAAGGATGAGGCCTGGGTCGTGTTCATTAAGGCGGAATTAAAATAATAATAATTGCAACAGAAAACAAAATATGAGCGTTTCTTATTGGATAAGTGAAGGAAGTCCCTCCTTATTTCAGTCCGTTTTCTTCTGTTTGGTGCCTAATAAACACAACCCAGAGTTAACGTAGTTAAGGCAGCGTAGATTCATTTTGGTTTCTTCAGCGATTGGTGAGGTCATATTAATACGTTCAATGTTTTGAAATTCATTTAGTAAAGTTTTAACCGATTTTTAGATTGTGGCTTGCATTGTTATTGTTAATTTGTCCTTTTAACCATTGCTCTTCTTGCAGCTGAATAACTTCAAGGCCCAGCAGAAGCTGGACATCCTAAATTCTGTGAGTCTCAGTTCCTAAGCTGTAGTGGGTGATCTTAAATGCAAACGTAGTTAAATACCCAGGTGCACACAGTGAAATGAATGACAATAAATAATTAAAACGTGAATTGTGAAGAGCAGTGGAGAGTGGGCATGTCATATTGAAACTGAAGATGAAGAATTGGTTGATCATCCCTACATTGTTTGTTTCAGGTGTTCTCCTACTTTCATGCCCAGTACACCTTCTTCCACCAAGGCTTTGACTTGCTGAGAGACCTGGAGCACACTACGAAGTCCATGGACGCACAGGTGAGACTACAGTGAAAGACGTGACCATGTGATTATTAGTTGAGATAAAGTCACTAAACTAGGGACAGGAGTTTTTACTGACCACACGACCTGACCAGGAAAAACTCTGTAGCTAAAAATACCTGGTTTGACTGTAAAAAACAAAATACAAATAGCCTGATCTGAGCCGGAATGGCCCATAGGCCATAATCTCCTGTTTCTATAGCGTGAGGCAGCTTGATGTACAAGTACAACCCCTGGACAGGATGCTAGTCTATAGCAAGGCCGTACCCCCAATCCTTTTCGTCGGCTTCTGTAACATATAGCCAACAAGGTGTGAGCCATTCAGCAGGGCTGTGCACAGAGCTTTGGGGGGGGGCACGTTCTCAACAACAACAAAAAAGGATTAACTCTCCGTCCGGTGCCAGTAGCCACTGACTGCATGCAGAAGTCAGACGTGCACGCTTTGAGCTAGAGGGTGTGGAGGGGGATTTTTCTAAGATTCAAGAGTTAATGAAATTAGCTAGTTTGATGTGCAATTTGTAATATTTAAAATTAAAACATTGAAAAGAGACTCAAAATACAATTAAAAAGTAAATCATAAAATAAAATAAATCTGAGGACAATCTTTCAGAGGAGGGCAAAAGGGCAGGTGCTCGGGCACTGGTTGAGCCCTATCTGTGCACGTGCCTGCCACTCAGGGAGTATATAGTTCAGAATGCGGCTGCCAATATCAATGTTTACTTGTTCATTGAGATTAGATTTTTGATCATATGCCTTTTGACAGCTTGCCCAACTCTCGACTGAATGTACAGCTAAAAGAAAGGACCTGGAGAATACCCACCTACTGGTCCAGCAGAGAGTGAGTGTTATCATCAGATGCCAGATGGTCACAGTTGCTGAAGGATTATCACTTAACTAACACTGTGTGTTTTGTGTTTGTGTCCAGGATGCCTCAGGGGAGCCCATACTAAGTTCCTGTCCTGATGGTGGGGAAACCATACAGGGTTACCTCTTCAAAATATCTCGGAGAAAGAACAAGACATGGAAGAGGTGAGCGAGAGAAACACAGATTCTTTACTGTGATACCTTACAACTTATGTCACACAATGGCAGTTAATTACTGCCTTGTATTCAACACGTCACTAAATCTCAAATCTTGCTTTGGATGCTGGTTCTCCATTAAAGACAACCAATTGGTGTACACAAAGTCACATAAGGTAGGACAGTTTATGTATGTATTTATTTGGTCTTTTGATCAATCATTTATTATAGTTGTACTGCAGGAATTTTATTACTGAACATTGTTGTGTCCTTCAATAGTTGTGTATTTGACAGTTTGTCTTCCTGATAGGAGGAGCCTGGTCCTGTTTGATGACCTCAGGCTGTGAAAAGTATACCAGACGCTCAGTTTGAGTTTCTGTCAAACGTGTAAGCAGTGTAACCTACATGTATTTGTTGATTTTCTCAATTTCACAAGGTGTTAAAATTCTGCCATGACTTTATCTGTGGATTAAAACTATGTCTTGATATCTCAGAAGTTGTAGCTTTGAAATGGCATATGTTAACAGTGCAACATCGCACGATTTCGGATACAGTGGAAGCATATTTACATATTTGCATAGATGCATGATAAAGCAGAGTCAAGTCCAGTTACCTCATGACCAACCCTGTCTGTCTCCTCTGCCAGGTATGCCTTAAGGTACTCAGAGGACGAGGGCTTGGATCGGCCTTCAGGGGAGCATAACATGGCTACCGCAGAGATGGAGTCCCAGCGCTCAGGTATTACATTCAACGGTTACGACAATAACAATTTTTCATCTAGATTTTTATTTAAAAAATAGTACAAAGAAAACAAAACAAGTCACATTTAACTAAACAAAACAGCATACAGCAATACAGTAACGATTGACCTATTCAGGAATCTCCAGGCAAATACATTCTAACTATGCCTCTTTGTGTGCCCAGCCCAAAGAAAGCCCCCTGCCCCTACAGAGCCCCTCAGACCCACAGCCAGGACAGCCTCCTCCTCTGGTTGTGGCACTCCAAAGTCCGGGGAACCACCGCTGCTGCGACTGCAGTGAGGAGGAGCCGCGCTGGGGCCAGCGTCAACCTGGGTATCACCATGTGCATCGAGTGCTCCGGCATCCACAGGTACTGCCTAGCTAGTGTGTGGTGTTTATAGTCCTGGGGGACTAACAGGACTACAGGGCATGCAGGCTTTTGTTCCAGTCCAGCACTTTCACACCTAATTTAACAGATCAAGGTCTCACGAAGACCTTGATTAGTCGAATCAGGTGTGTTAGTGCTAGGCTGGAACAATAGCCTGCATGCCCTGTAGTCCTGTTAGTCCCCCAGGAGCTTCCCAAGACCGGGGTTACTGACCACCATGTTTCTGTAATGTTGTGTTTTTTTAACAGGAGCCTTGGGGTCCATCTCTCCAAAGTGCGATCTCTCACCCTAGACTCCTGGGATCCCGAACAGATGAAGGTACTGTAGCAGAATTGTCACGTACGTTACCAATTAAAGCTGAGTAAAATATTAGAATTATGAGTAGTAGCCCTGAGTTTTTCCTGACTGCATTACCAGCTGGCTATACCTAGGGCCCAGAGTTTTAATGGTCAGAGTTCATAGTCAGGAAAAACTCATGGCCCCTAAGTATGAGGTTTGTTTCTTAACTCTTCTGCTCTGTTCTACTCTGCAGCTGCTGTGTGGTCTGGGTAATGATGTCATCAATGGGATATACGAGTCCAGGTGTGCAGCAGAGGGCAGAGTAAAGCCTAGTGCTGGCAGCCCTCAGTAAACATTTTGCAACAGAGGTTCTTTGGCAACACTATCAAACCCCTTATATCCCGAGTGGCGCAGTGGTCTAAGACACTGCATCTCAGTGCTTGAGGCGTCACTACAGACCCCCGGTTCGATTCCAGGCTGTATCACAACCGGCCGTGATTGGAAGTCCCATAGGGCGGCGCACAATTGGCCCAGTGTCGTCCGGGTTTGGCCGGTGTAGGCCGTCATTGTAAATAACAATTTGTTCTTAACTGACTTGCCTAGTTAAATAAAGGTAAAATAAAATAAAATAAAAATATTGGTCTCCCATGTTCCGATTGAAAGAGACTTACTCCATCAATTGAAAGGCATTGATTATTAAAGAGCTACACTGAATGAGCTGAAATCTTAAAGGTTCCATCTAGAACCTAAAAGGGTTCTTCGGCTGTCCCCATAGGAGAACCCTTTGAAGAACCCTTTTGGGTTCCATGTAGAACGAACAAGAAACCACAATGAATGAGTGCCAAACGGCTACCTAAGTATGACTCCCAATCAGAGACAACGAGCTACAGCCGTCTCTGATTGGGAGCCACCCTGGCCAACATAGATCTACAAAACCAGAAAGTGAAACCTAGAACACACAGACTATACACACCCTGGCTCAACATATTAGAGTCCCCAGAGCCAGGGCGTGACAGTACCCCCCCCCTAAAGGCGCGGACTCCGACCGCGCCCACCAAACACCACAGGGGAGGGACCGGGTGGGCACTCCGCTTAGGCGGCGGATCCGGCTCCGGGCCTGATCCCCGCTCCCTCTCCAACCCCCCAAAGTACCCCTGGTCCGGTCTGGCCCCGCTGGCCGGAGCTGGACTGCACACTGGTGGAGCGGATTGCTCTAGCTCCGGCGTGAAGCATCTGACCGGTGCCGGACCAGCCACCGGTGGAACAGGCACGGGCCGTGCCAGACTGACGACGCACACCACTGGCTTGGTGTGGGGAGCAGGAGCCGGCCGAGCCGGGCTGTCGAAGCGCACCACTGACTTGGTGCGGGGAGCAGGAATGGGCCGAGCCGGGCTGACGAAGCGCACCACTGACTTGGTGCGGGGAGCAGGAACGGGCCGAGCCGGGCTGACGAAGCGCACCACTGACTTGGTGCGGGGAGCAGGAACGGGCCGAGCCGGGCTGACGAAGCGCACCACTGACTTGGTGCGGGGAGCAGGAACGGGCCGAGCCGGGCTGACGAAGCGCACCACTGACTTGGTGCGGGGAGCAGGAACGGGCCGAGCCGGGCTGACGAAGCGCACCACTGACTTGGTGCGGGGAGCAAGAACAGGCCAGACCGTACTGGGGACACACACCACTGGTCCTACGCAGGGATCTGGAATGGGCCGGACCGGACTGGTAACACACCCCAGTACCTCTCGCCGTGCCTCTACACCTTCCACCCCCTCTTCGACCAGTGGCCCCCGTAACCTGGCGGCCTCCTCTGCCAATCCGCTGGGCCGCTCTGCCGCGGTCTCCTGCTGGCCCGTCGTCCACGGCGTTAGCCCCCCCCTAAAAAATGTCTGGCCGTCTCTCCTACCCGTGGACCAGGTCTCCATGTCCCTCGCCAGCCTTTCGCCCTTCTGCCACAATGTCAAGCCCTTCTCTTCCTCACTCGGCTTGACCCAGTCGAGGAGGCGAAGGAGATCTGTTAGAGATCTCCCTGGCGATGGCTCCTGGACACGCTGCTTGGTCAAATCTTGGTGGTTTCTTCTGTCACGATCGTCGGTGAGAGAGGAGGACCAAGGCGCAGCGTTGAAGGCGAACATATTTATTATATTAATGATCACACGATCAAAACAACAAAACGATGACGTGACAGTCAATGGTCATACACAAACCAAATACGAACAAGAAACCACAATGAATGAGTGCCAAACGGCTACCTAAGTATGACTCCCAATCAGAGACAACGAGCTACAGCCGTCTCTGATTGGGAGCCACCCTGGCCAACATAGATCTACCCTTTCCACATGTAACTCTTTTTTTCTAAGAGTGAACACTGGAGTGTGTTTCAAAAGACTTCACATAGACATTAGTAGGGCTTTATAATGTTCGATTTGAAACAGAACTATTAAAATAGTTTGACTCCCTGCACAGTCCCCTGCTTTAACAATGATTCTCTCTCTCTCTCTCTCTCTCTTTTTATTCTCTCTATCTCTCTCTCTATCTCTCTCTCTCAGCCCAGAGAAAGAGACATGGATTAAAGAGAAATATGTGGAGAAAAGATTTGCAAAGGATGCCAGCTCGCCTGAAACACGTAGGTCCCTATCGTACTACTCACCTCCGCATGGGGTTTGATGTTTGTGTGTGTGTGTCTGTCTTTGTGTGAATTTAATCAGTCCTACTCCTACATTTAGTCTCAGTCCATTCGTCTTTCAATGACGCTATTATTGTTACTGTAGAGATTGGGAGGGAGAATGCAGGGCATCAGCATGGCGCAGGGGGCAGAGGTGAACTGGAGCCACGCTGAGGAGGAGGGACGCACTGCTCTCATTGGCTCAGCTTTTGGGGTGAGTAGCGCCGTGGGCATGATTTAAAGGTACAGTCAGCGATGCACAAAGTAATCAGCAATATCAAGCTGCTTTTCGCAACATATAAGGACATTCAATCTGAGGGCTTAACTTCTCTGCTGTTTCGGTTCAGCAGTTATCACATTGAAGCTATTGAAGTGCACCCATGCACATATGCAGATATTCTGTGATACTCTGTCTGAGTGCATCGTCTTGCATCATGCTTATTTGCAAAATGTTCAGTGCTGCTCGTGGCAACGTCATATCGCTGAGTCTCAGTTTGACATAGATTGTGTTTTATTTATACTTTAGCATAGTAGGCCCCCAAGTTTATCCTGACTAGGTAGTTTGTTTTATGTTTATTTTTTTTACTTCAGGGCCGTAAACATGGGTTGTGCATGTGTCTTACATGTATATGCTTTTCTGTCTGTCTACAGGGCTCCCTATCGGCCTGTGAGTTCCTACTGCAGAATGGAGCCAATCTAAACTACTGTGACCAGCGTGTTCAAGGAGCCCTTCACACTGCAGCCACCTGGGGCCACACAGGGTGAGGGTCACACACATATACGAGTTACAGTGAAGTCAGAGTTACATATCAGTGGGGAAAAAAAGTATTTAGTCAGCCACCAATTGTGCAAGTTCTCCCACTTAAAAAGATGAGAGAGGCCGTGTAATTTTCAGCAATAGGTTAAACAGTCAACTAGAAGACAAAAATGAGAAAAAATATCACGAGAAAATCACATTGTAGGATTTTTAATGAATTATTGGCAAATGATGTGGAAAATAAGTATTTTGGTCACTAACAAAAGTTATCACTACTTGTTATATACACTTTGTTGGCAATGACACAGGTCAAACGTTTTCTGTAAGTCTTCACAAGGTTTTCACACACTGTTTCTGGTATTTTGGCCCATTCCTCCATGCAGATCTCCTCTAGAGCAGTGATGTTTTGAGGCTGTCGCTGGGCAACACGGACTTTCAACTCCCTCCAAAGATTTTCTATGGGGTTGAGATCTGGAGACTGGCTAGGCCACTCCAGGACCTTGAAATGCTTCTTACGAAGCCACTCCTTCGTTGCCCGGGCGGTGTGTTTGGGATCATTGTCATGCTGAAAGACTCAGCCACGTTTCATCTTCAATGCCCTTGCTGATGGAAGGAGGTTTTCACTCAAAATCTCACGATACATGGCCCCATTCATTCTTTCCTCTACACGGATCAGTCGTCCTGGTCCCTTTGCAGAAAAACAGCCCCAAAGCATGATGTTTCCACCCCCATGCTTCACAGTAGGTATGGTGTTCTTTGGATGCAACTCAGCATTCTTTGTCCTCCAAACATGACGAGTTGAGTTTTTACCAAAAAGTTATATTTTGGTTTCATCTGACCATATGACATTCTCCCAATCCTCTTCTGGATCATCCAAATGCACTTCAGACGGGCCTGGACATGTACTGGCTTAAGCAGGGGGACACGTCTTGCACTGCAGGATTTGAGTCCCTGGCGGCGTAGTGTGTTACTGATGGTAGGCTTTGTTACTTTGGTCCCAGCTCTCTGCAGGTCATTCACTAGGTCCCCCCGTGTGGTTCTGGGATTTTTGCTCACCGTTCTTGTGATCATTTTGACCCCACGGGGTGAGATCTTGCGTGGAGCCCCAGATCGAGGGAGATTATCAGTGGTCTTGTATGTCTTCCATTTCCTAATAATTGCTCCCACAGTTGATTTCTTCAAACCAAGCTGCTTACCTATTGCAGATTCACTCTTCCCAGCCTGGTGCAGGTCTACAATTTTGTTTCTGGTGTCCTTTGACAGCTCTTTGGTCTTGGCCATAGTGGAGTTTGGAGTGTGACTGTTTGAGGTTGTGGACAGGTGTCTTTTATACTGATAACAAGTTCAAACAGGTGCCAGTAATACAGGTAACGAGTGGAGGACAGAGGAGCCTCTTAAAGAAGTTGTTACAGGTCTGTGAGAGCCAGAAATCTTGCTTGTTTGTAGGTGACCAAATACTTATTTTCCACCATAATTTGCTAATAAATTCATAACAAATCCTACGATGTGATTTTCTGGATTTTTTTTCCTCAATTTGTCTGTCATAGTTGACGTGTACCTATGATGAAAATTACAGGCATCTCTCATCTTTTTAAGTGGGAGAACTTGCACAATTGGTGGCTGACTAAATACTTTTTTTCCCCACTGTACACTTAGGTTGGAGTCATTAAAACTCGTTTTTCAACCACTCCACAAATTTCTTGTTAACAAGCTATAGTTTTGGCAAGTTGGTTAGGACATCTACTTTGTGCATGACACAAGTAATGTTTCCAACAATTGTTTACGTACAGATTATTTCACTTATAATTCACTGTATCACAATTCCAGTGGGTCAGCAGTTTACATACACTAAGTTGACTGTGCCTTTAAACAGCGTAGAACATTCCAGAAAATGATGTCATGGCTTTAGAAGCTTCTGATATGCTAATTGAGATAATTTGAGTCAATTGGAGGTGTACCTGTGGATGTATTTCAAGACCTACCTTTAAACTGAGTGCCTCTTTACTCATGGGAAAATCAAAAGAAATCAGCCAAGACCTCAGAAAAAAATTGTAGACCTCCATAAATCTGGTTAATCCTTGGGAGCAATTTCCAAACGCCTGAAGGTACCACGTTAATCTGTACAAACAATAGTACGCAAGTATAAACACCAAGGGACCACGCAGCCGTCATACCGCTCAGGAAGGAGGCGCATTCTGTCTCCTAGAGATGAACGTACTTTGGTGCGAAAAGTGCGAATCAATCTCAGAACAACAGCAATGGACCTTGTGAAGATGCTGGAGGAAACAGGTACAAAAGTATCTATATCCACAGTAAAACAAGTCCTATATCGACATAACCTTAAAAGCCACTCAGCAAGGAAGAAGCCACTGCTCCAAAACCGCCGTAAAAAAGACAGACTACGGTTTGCAACTGCACATGGGGACAAAGATCGTACTTTTTGGAGCAATGTCCTCTGGTCTGATGAAACAAAAATAGAACCGTTTGGCCATAATGACCTTTGTTATGTTTGGAGGAAAAAGGGGGTTGCTTGCAAGCCAAAGAACACCATCCCAACCATGAAGCACGGGGGTGGCAGCATCATGCTGTGGGGGTGCTTTGCTGCAGGAGGGACTGGTGCACTTCACAAAATAGATGGCATCATGAGGAAGGAAAATTATGTGGCTATATTGAAGCAACATCTCAAGACATCAGTCAGGAAGTTAAAGCTTGGTCGCAAATGGGTATTCCAAATGGACAATGACCCCAAGTATACTTCCAAAGTTGTGGCAAAATGGCTTAAGGACAACAAAGTCAAGGTATTGGAGGGCCATCACAAAGCCCTGACCTCAATCCTATAGAACATTTGTGGGCAGAACTGAAAAAGCGTGTGCGAGCAAGGAGGCCTACAAACCTGACTCAGTTACACCAGCTCTGTCAGGAGGAATGGGCCAAAATTCACCCAACTTATTGTGGGAAGCTTGTGGAAGGCTACCTGAAACGTTTGACCCAAGTTAAACAATTTAAAGGCAATGCTACCAAATACTAATTGAGTGTATGTAAACTTCTGACCCACTGGGAATGTGATGAAATAAATAAAAGCTGAAATTAATCATTCTCTCTACTATTATTCTGACATTTCACATTCTTAAAATAAGGTGGTGATCCTAACTGACCTAAGACAGGGAATTTTTACTAGGATTAAATGACATGAATTGTGAAAAACTGAGGTTAAATGTAATTGGCTAAGGTGTATGTAAACTTCCGACTTCAACTGTAGCTTCATTTTAAGTGGTATGCTATTGGAACAGTGGCCGTAACTAGGACCCAGAGTTTATGGTCAGGGTAAAGTCCTTGGTCTACATATAGCAATAGAAGAAGTCCTTCCAGGTCTTAGGCCAGGGCTTCTCTAAGTTTTTGGGGCCGGGGACCGCTTTTGTGATAGCAAATTTATAATCGGAAAACACAACTCCTACTTGAGAATTCAATAAAAAAAGCATGCAAGGAGTTTTACTATGATTTCTGCAATTGTCACGCCCTGGCTCTGGGGACTCTTAAATGTTGAGCCAGGGTGTGGAGTTTCTATGTTATATTTTCTATGTTGTGTTTTCTAGATCATGTGGATCTATGTTGGCCAGGGTGGTTCCCAATCAGAGGCAGCTGTAGCTCGTTGTCTCTGATAGGGGACCATACTTAGGCAGCCTGTTTGGCACCAGTCGGTGTGGGATCTTGTTCCGTAAAGGTTTGTGTTGTGTAACCTAGGACTTCATGTTTCGTTTGTTTGTTGTTTTGTTCGTGTGTTAAGTACAAATAAAATATGTACGCTTATCACGCTGCGCCTTGGTCCGTCTCATCAGTAAACGATCGTGACAGCAATGCATGGTCGGACTAACCAAGTATCTGGCCCCTTTTCTTATTCTTTATTTTTTATTTTTTATCTGGTCGCTGACTCCCTGCAGTACCACTTTGAGAACCACTGCTGTCTTAGGGTATAGTATATCAAAGTCTATGATTGGTTAAAATCAGTTTGGTGGGTGCAAATGAATAACATGTGTGCCTCATGTGTCTCACAGGCAAGTGTGTCTACTTCTAAAGAAGGGAGCCAATCAGTATGCAGTTGACGAGAGGGGGCAGGACCCACTCGCCATTGCCATAGAGACAGCACATGCCGATATTGTGACCCTGTAAGTAAATCCACTCTATGAAATGCAGGAAAAGTGGAAGCATTGTGGTAGTTTGTTAATGTCCTGTATTTTTTGGGGACTGTCTTCCAGACTACGAATGGCTCGCATGAATGAAGAGATGAGAGACTCAGAGGGATTCTTTGGATCAATGGGTAACATTCACTATGTTGATGTTTAATAAAATGATGATACCTTTATTTGTTTCTCACCTGTAGCCCTTTACACTCATACCTGTATACGGGTTGAAAATGGCAGATTTGGGCACTGATAAGCACCTGAATTGGAACACAGTGGCTGTACAGTATCATGCTATACATTACGTCAGAGCTCAGGGTCTCCGCTTCACAGCTCTGTATGGGTTTTGACTGACAGCTTTTCTGAACTTGAGCACCGTGCGACAAGAAGTTGCCCCCATCCCTCTCGCTAATTGGGCAACTTTTGCAAACGTTTTGTTGTCTGAATGGAGGAAATGCTGTAAATTACAAGGACTCAATGTACACTGCTCAAAAAAATAAAGGGAACACTTAAACAACACAATGTAACTCCAAGTCAATCACACTTCTGTGAAATCAAACTGTCCACTTAGGAAGCAACCCTGATTGACAATACATTTCACATGCTGATGTGCAAATGGAATAGACAACAGGTGGAAATTATAGGCAATTAGCAAGACACCCCCAATAAAGGAGTGGTTCTGCAGGTGGTGACCACAGACCACTTCTCAGTTCCTATGCTTCCTGGCTGATGTTTTGGTCACTTTTGAATGCTGGCGGTGCTTTCACTCTAGTGGTAACATGAGACGGAGTCTACAACCCACACAAGTGGCTCAGGTAGTGCAGGTCATCCAGGATGGCACATCAATGCGAGCTGTGGCAAGAAGGTTTGCTGTGTCTGTCAGCGTAGTGTCCAGAGCATGGAGGCGCTACCAGGAGACAGGCCAGTACATCAGGAGACGTGGAGGAGGCCGTAGGAGGGCAACAACCCAGCAGCAGGACTGCTACCTCTGCCTTTGTGCAAGGAGGAGCAGGAGGAGCACTGCCAGAGCCCTGCAAAATGACCTCCAGCAGGCCACAAATGTGCATGTGTCTGCTCAAATGGTCAGAAACAGACTCCATGAGGGTGGTATGAGGGCCCGACGTCCACAGGTGGGGGTTGTGCTTACAGCCCAACACCGTGCAGGGCGTTTGGCATTTGCCAGAGAACACCAAGATTGGCAAATTCGCCACTGGCGCCCTGTGCTCTTCACAGATGAAAGCAGGTTCACACTGAGCACATGTGACAGACGTGACAGAGTCTGGAGACGCCGTGGAGAACGTTCTGCTGCCTGCAACATCCTCCAGCATGACCGGTTTGGCGGTGGGTCAGTCATGGTGTGGGGTGGCATTTCTTTGGGGGGCCGCACAGCCCTCCATGTGCTCGCCAGAGGTAGCCTGACTGCCATTAGGTACTGAGATGAGATCCTCAGACCCCTTGTGAGACCATATGCTGGTGCGGTTGGCCCTGGGTTCCTCCTAATGCAAGACAATGCTAGACCTCATGTGGCTGGAGTGTGTCAGAAGTTCCTGCAAGAGGAAGGCATTGATGCTATAATAATAATAATAATATAATATGCCATTTAGCAGACGCTTTTATCCAAAGCGACTTACAGTCATGTGTGCATAAATTTTTACATATGGGTGGTCCCGGGGATCGAACCCACTACCCTGGCGTTACAAGCGGCGTGCTCTACCAATTGAGCTACAGAGGACCACATACATAGGCTATGGACTGGCCCGCCCATTCCCCAGACCTGAATCCAATTGAGCACATCTGGGACATCATGTCTCGCTCCATCCACCAACGCCACGTTGCACCACAGACTGTCCAGGAGTTGGTGGATGCTTTAGTCCAGATCTGGGAGGAGATCCCTCAGGAGACCATCCGCCACCTCATCAGGAGCATGCCCAGGCGTTGTAGGGAGGTCATACAGGCACGTGGAGGCCACACACACTGCTGAGCCTAATTTTGACTTGTTTTAAGGACATTACATCAAAGTTGGATCAGCCTGTAGTGTGGTTTTCCACTTTAATTTTGAGGGTGACTCCAAATCCAGACCTCCATGGGTTGATACATTTGATTTCCATTGATAATTTTTGTGTGATTTTGTTGTCAGCACATTCAACTATGTAAAGAAAAAAGTATTTAATAAGATTATTTCATTCATTCAGATCTAGGATGTGTTCTTTTAGTGTTCCCTTAATTTTTTTGAGCAGTGTATTTTGAAAGATGAGATGTTGAGGATTATAATAAATACCACTTTGATGTCATACAAGCAAGCCAAACACCTGTGAATCCAAATGTGCACTTCACATTTCCATATCATAAAACTCATGTCATATACAGTGTCAGTGTTTATGATCACTATGTTCGATGTACAGTTATAAGATGATATGGCTTCATACCCTAGGTTGTTCTGAACAAAATGAGCCTATGTTTGTTTGTTGTGAAGAACATTTGCTGCGGAACATGCACCTGAATGCACGCATGACTCCTTTATAACTCCTTTATAAGATTGTATTTTATAACTTAGCTAGTCATGTTGGCAATAGAACAAGCTTTCAAATTATGCCCACCTGACCCAGATTGCCATTTATAATGGACCGTTTTTTGGATTGCGTAAACAACAACTGTAATTGTGTGTTGGTGGGGATGCAGGGCTGTGTTCCAAACAAAACAACTACAAGTGTGCTTGCTCTAGTTCGTCAATAGCACTGCTAGGAGAGCTCAAAAAATGACCTTATAGTTGAAGACTCTTCTTTGAGACATAAAAGTGCATTGAAATTACTTAGAAACTGTGGCCACTTGGAGACACCAGTTAGTCGTCTTACCCAAACCCTTGGAATTGTTTTGTCTTATGTTGCACCTACACCACATTTTCCAGTAATATTCTTATCATGTTACTGAATGTATCCAGAGTATTTTCAGATTTTGTTATCAACAAATGTGGCGAAAAGTACAGCAAATGTACACTGAACAAAAATAAATAAAGCCCTTTTGTGGGGAAAAAACTCATTCTGATTGGCTGGGCCTGGCTCCCCAGTGGTTGGGCTTATGCCCTCCCAGGCCCACTCATGGCTGCACCCCTGCCCAGTCATGTGAAATCCATAGATTAGGGCCTAATGAATTTATTTCAATTGACTGATTTTCTTATATTTACATTTTAGTCATTTAGCAGACGCTGTTATCCAGAGCGACTTACAGTTAGTTAGTTGGTGCAATATTTGCTCAGAAATAGAGCACGCTTTGATTGGTTATCTCAAACGTTGAGACCTCTCATTGTTTTGGATTTGAAAACCTAACAGCTGCAAAGGAAGAGGGCGGTGCTCCGGGGCTGTGTGGCTGTCCATGAGTGTGTTTGAGAGAGAAAGACGAAGAGGAGAACAAACCAGTAAAAGCACAGCCCCCTTCATTATTGACGCATCGTGCTCACAGCATCCAGCAGCCTCCCTAGACTATGACGTAAGGAGGACTTCGAGTTTTGGTATCAGCCAGACTTCTCTGTCCGTGCTGAACATGAACACTCCTAGAATGCTGTTTTGCTGTGCTGGGTCGTATTCATTAGGGCTCACCATAGCAAAACGTTTTGTAACGAAGACTAAAACGGCTTGTTCTCATTGAACAAGTACAGATAGTTCCGCTTGTTTTCTTCCATGTCGTGCCTACTAAACACAACCCTTAGTCCAAACACTACATTTTGCTGAACTGCTTGTGTGTTCCTTTCCAGGTGACGATGAGACATTTCAAGACATCTTCCGTGACTTCAGTGATATGGCTTCACACGATCCAGAAAGACTCACCCGTCGACAGTTCAGCAGAAGCGGAGAAGAGGAGGAACAGGACAAGAGAATGGTGAATGACCAGCACAAGGCAGAGAAGGAGGAGGAAGAGACATAGGGAGAATCTCAATTGCATACTCCTCGCGTCCTCTCTCCTGCCCCAATTCTTGTGAATGGATGTTACATAGGATGGATGCATATTAACTGTGTTTGCTCAGTCTGCTGTAATGCCCCAAAAGCACATAAATAAGGAAGATAAAAGTGTTACATATTGAAATACTAAAGTATTATATTTTGATGTATTGGTATGGACTGTAGCCACTTCAATATTTCAGATGTTATTAGATTACTTACACTTACTGACTGAACTGCTGCATGCAGTAGCCTATACATGTTACTATTTACAGGTCATCAGTTTTTGTTTGCAGAGGAAATAAGTGGACCAAAACTGTCAAATGAGAATGCAGGGATTTAGAATGCATTATAAAGCGGGTAGTTTGGGTCCTGATTGGCTGAAACAGCATTTCAGCTGTGTGTATATCAGACAATATGATGCAGAAATACTTGTTTACTGTTCTACTTATGTGGGTATCCAGTTTATAAATGCAATTAGGCACATTTTACATTTTAGTCATTTAGCAGACGCTCTTATCCAGAGCGACTTACAGTTAGTGAGTGCATACATTATTTTTTATACTGGCCCCCCATGGGAATCGAACCCACAACAGAGCCACATCCCAGCCGGCCATTCCTTCCCCTACCCTGGACGAATTGTGCGCCGCCCCATGGGTCTCCTGGTCGCAGGATCTCTAGTGGCACAGCTAGCACTGCGATGCAGTGCCTTAGACCACTGCGCCACTCGGGAGACCTCTGGGGTTTGTGGTATATGGCCAATATACCACATCCCCTTGGGCCTTATTGCTTAAATATAGGCCTATTATATATTATTTTACTGTGGCACAGTCAGATATAATAAAATGTGTCTTAATACTGTTTTGAGTTTTTATTGGATTATGGTGAACAATGAGCATCCATATTGCACAATGTCCCAGATGTGATTGAAATAATGAGTAAATAATGAGTACAGTCCTTAAAGGAGAAGTTATTTTTTACAACCAAATCTCTATTTTTTACGTAAATAGTTTGTTATAGAAGGGTCCAGACAAATATTTTGTGATTTCACGTTTTAGAGAAATATACTCCAAACAGCAAATCACTTCCTCATCCTCGTGTGGTATGTGGGCCCTGAAAAAACATGAACAAATGCTCCAAAAACACCAAAATACATCCTTTTAGAAACAGCAAAGCTCTCAGTATAGGGATGCAGGTCTTTATATGTTGTACACATGAAATTGCGTCATACCGAACTTTATCTGCAACATTATATTCCATTTTGTTGTGACTCCAGAGATACCTCTGTCCATTTTACAGGTAACTGCCTAAATAAAGGAAACACTAAAGTAAATGAGGGATACAAAGTATATTGAATGCATGGGATGCTTCCACACAGGAAGTTCCAGACACTTGTAGAATATACGCCAAGGCGCATTGAAGCTGTTCTGGCTGCTTGTGGTGTCCCAATGCCCTATAAGGACACTATATGTTGGTGTTTCCATTATTTTGGCAGTTACCTGTAGCAGCAGGCTACATGGAAAATGGAACCGCTTGAGTTGCGCAAAAGGGAATAAATATAACATTACGGATAAAGTTTGGAATGACACAACTTCATGTGTACAACATCTAAAGACCCGCGTAACTATACTGAGAGCTTTGCCGTTCCTAAAATGACGTTTTAGGGTGTTTTGTTCATGTTTTTTTCAGGGCCCATATATAACACAATGAGGATGAGGAAGTGATTTGCTGTTTGGGGTAAGATTTTTGTGAAATCACAAAAAAAGATGTCTGGACCCTTCTGTAACATGCCATTTAGATTTAAAAAAAAAAATAGAGATTAGGTTGTAAAAAGGGAAACTTTTCCTTTATTGTAAGGTAGCCTACTGTACAATAGCACTGTACGTGTACAACAGAAGTCCCGAAGAATTTCAAAATACATGCGCATAAGAACTACGTCATTCGAAGCGCGACCAAAGCTGAACGCATGCGCATATGACGGCTCAAATTCGTTGACGCCATTTTGGACATCGCAGGACTGTTTTATACAGCTACTTGCTAATGTTGATCAATTAACTATTGTTTTAATTTGTTGACCGGCCATAGACACTATCATTGCTGGCTAGCTTTCGACTCAGCTGGCCAGATTGTCTTATTTCGTTAGCTAGATATTGACGTTGTTCCATTTGTGGTTGCTAACTAGCTACCAGCAGGGCCCATTTGTCCGTGCAGATTGCTTGTTTCGGAACTTGCATTTTCTCGTTGATACAATAACCACAGATACAATTGATTAATCGCCAAGCCTAAATACTGAGTTGATTGTCCATAGTGTCCTTTGGACAAATGGATGGCGAAGAGGACGAATTCTTCTCCGGGAACCACTCTGGTAAGAACTGCTTTGATTCTGCCTCGGCGCGGACAAGCTAGCTCCTATTGCTTTTTTTTTGGTATTTGTTATGGATCTCATTAACTGCTGCCAAGGCAACAGCTACTATTCCTGGGGTCCAGGAAAAATTAACGAAGTAATATACATTATAATATCATTCACAATACATTAAGTGTGTGCCCTCTAGCCACTAAGGTGGCATTTCATGTGGGGTATGCATGGGTGTCTGAGCTGTGTGTTAGTAGGTTAAACAGACAGCTCGGTGCATTCAACATGTCAATACTATTTACAAAAACAAGTAGTGATGAAGTCAATCTTTCCTCTACTTTGAGCCATGAGAGATTGACATGCGTATTTTGTTATTTTAACTCTACGTGTACATTTAAGGGCCAGCCGTGCTGCCCTGTTTTCCCAAGTCCCTCTTTGTGGCACCTGACCACACAACTGGGCAGTAGCCCAGGTGCGACAAAACTAGTGCCTGTAGGACCTGCCTTGTTGATTTTATTGTTATAAAGACAGAGCAGCACTTTATTATGGACAGACCTCTCCCAATCGTAGCTACTGTTGCATCAATGTTATTGTGTGCATGGTCGTCATGCCCCTTGTATATGATACCAATATTTGTAAACATTCATTCTGGAATGGCAAAAAATGTGTTGGTTATGTCCTGTAGATGGTGGCGGCACCCCAGTACAAGACGAACATGCTCCTGGTTCAGATGCGGAAGAGCCGCTCCACTCCGAGGTAAGGGGATAGTCATCTAAGCAAGACGTTCAGATAACCAGTGTTCATCACCACAGTCGTGGTCAAAAGTTTTGAGAATGACACAAGTATTGGTCTTCACAACGTTTGCTGCTTCAGTGTTTTTAGATATTTTTGTCAGATGTTACTATGGTATACTGAAGTATAATTACAAGCCTTCCATAAGTGTCATAGGCTTTTATTGACAATTACATTACGTTTATGCGAAGAGTCAATATTTGCGGTGTTGACCCTTCTTTTTCAAGACCTCTGCAATCCGCCCTGGCATGCTGTCAATTAACTTCTGGGCCACATCCTGACTGATGGCAGCCCATTCTTGCGTAATCAATGCTTGGAGTTTGTCAGAATTTGTGGGTTTTTGTTTGTCCACCCGCCTTTTGAGGATTGACCACAAGTTCTAAATGGGATTAAGGTCTGGGGAGATTCCTGGCCATGGACCCAAAATTTTGATGTTCTGTTCCCCGAGCCACTTAGTTATCCCTTTTGCCTTATGGCAAGGTGCTCCATCATGCTGGAAAAGGCATTGGTCAACACCAAACTGTTCTTGGATGGTTGGGAGAAGTTGCTCTCGGAGGATGTGTTGGTACCATTCTTTATTCATGGCTGTGTTATTAGGCAAAATTGTGAGAGAGCCCACTCCATTGGCTGAGAAGCAACCCCACACATGAATGGTCTCAGGATGCTTTAATGTTGGCATGACACAGGACTGATGGAAGCGCTCACCTTGTCTTCTCCGGATGCCCCAAACAATCGGAAAGGGGATTCATCAGAGAAAATGACTTTACCCCAGTCCTCAGCAGTCCAATCCCTGTACCTTTTGCAGAATATCAGTCTGTCCCTGATGTTTTTCCTGGAGAGAAGTGGCTTCCTCGCTGCCCTTCTTGACACCAGGCCATCCTCCAAAAGTCTTTGCCTCGCTGTGCGTGCAGATGCACTCACACCTGCCTGCTGCCATTCCTGAGCAAGCTCTGCACTGGTGGTGCCCCGATCCCGCAGCTGAATCAACTTTAGGAGACGGTCCTGGCGCTTGCTGGACTTTCTTGGGCGCCCTGAAGCCTTCTTCACAACAATTGAACCTCTCTCCTTGAAGTTCTTGATGATCCGATAAATGGTTGATTTAGGTGCAATCTTACTAGCAGCAATATCCTTGCCTGTGAAGCCCTTTTTGTGCAAAGCAATGATGACGGCACGTGTTTCCTTGCAGGTAACCATGGCTAACAGAGGAAGAACAATGATTTCAAGCACCACCCTCCTTTTAAAGCTTCCAGTCTGTTGTTTTAACTGAATCAGCATGACAGAGTGATCTCCAGCCTTGTCCTCGTCAACATTCTCACCTGTGTTAACGAGAGAATCACTGACATGATGTCAGCTGGTCCTTTTGTGGCAGGGCTGAAATGCAGTGGAAATGTTTTTTGGGGATAAAGTTCATTTTCATGGCAAAGAGGGACTTTGCAATTCATCTGATCACTCTTCATAACATTCTGGAGTATATACAAATTGCCATCATAAAAACTGAGGCAGCAGACTTTGTGAAAATTAATATTTGTGTAATTCTCAAAACTTTTGACCACGTGGTGGTGGTCAAGCCCTCTTGATTTCCAGACCATCTTGCACATACCGATTTTAACATTTAAAAAAATAATATAATATCCCAGGGCTCTACGCTGACCTTTTTTACAAGGAAAAATGTAGGGTCACACAAAGAAATGTAGGAGCACAATGAAAAATGTGCTAATAAAGCTAGAATCCTTAATATTTCTAGTCGCATTGGTGCTCCTAAATTTAAATGTCAGGTCGCACAGCAAAATATTTAGCCACGTATGCGTGTAAAATGGTCACACTTTAGAGCCCTGTATCCA